ACCCCACCAGTAAGAAAAATGGGAAATGCTAGGGGTACATTGGGGGTGACATAACGGATAACATAATGTGAGTGGGGTGGGTCCCATGCTACAGTATCGTGGACCCCACCTCCACTCACATTATGTCATCCTTTATGTCAACCCCAATGTACAAGTAGATTAATCCAAGAAAAATTCCTTGCACTCTTCGAAGATAAAATATAAATGAATATTCCGTAGTTAAATCCTTAGATACAATGGTGATTTTGCAAACAAAAAAGTTCTTCATGGACTGGAAATTGAATGATCATGAATTTAAAAGGAGACTAAGGAGATGTTCTCTTTGTGTTTCGATTTTATGTTTTGAGTTTTGAATTCATTTTGAGTTTTATGTTTTGAGTGTCCATTTTGATATTATTGAAAATGTGTTATTTTGGCATTTTGAAAAATTATTTTGAAAACACCCAAAACGCGTTTTGAAAATTTTGACTTGATTATAACTGAAAACAACCAAAACGAAAAATTTGCAGTTTTGTATTTTTTTTGTAAATTTCTAACTTGTTTTCAAAAACGCGTTTTCGAAAGTAAGAAAGAGGGCGTTTTCACTATTTTGGAAAATCGAAAATAGAAAACGGCTTATAAATGGTAAAGAGAACATGCCCTTAGTTTTGCTAATTTCTTATCCTTTCTTCATAGACACCAGGACTAAATATTATCACGGAGTATGTTAAAAAACGACTTGAAAATGGTAAAGAAAACAGACCATAAACTACTACATCTAGTAGATTAATTTTTGGAATAATTGTAGCAGCGGTACCAAACATTTTGTTTAGTAGCACACTTTGTCCAAACATTTCGTTTGTACTACCCACGGTACCAAACATTTTATTTGTGTCATCCACGGTATCAAACCTTTCAAAATATTGTAGTTGAAATCCAAATGGATGGTTTCTTTTAGGTTGACCGTTAGTTGACTAAATAATTGACATTGACAATAATTTTGACTAATTTTAAAAGGTTAAAAGGGTAACTTCATATTTTTTATAATAAAATAACTAATATTAAAAACCAGAAACCTACTTCTTCTTCTCCATCCACTCCAAAACCATCATCACCACCGCCATCTTCCTCACCACCATCTTCCTCACCACCATCTTCATTCCCATCAACAACTGTGTTTGGTGAGTGGTGGGGCAGTCTATTACTATTGTTAGTCAACACAAGAAAATTCATTTCTTTTCCCGCTCTTTGAATTTCATCTCTTTTGACCCTTCTTCTTCTCCAGGCCAGAGGGGCAATGTTTGAAGGTTTGTTATGTCAAAGAAACAGGTTGATTCAAAAGTGAAAAATTATACATTGTTATAGATATAGATATACTTTGAAAAGATGGAAGATGAAGTAGAGAAGTGAAAGAGAATGAAAAGGGGAAAGGGGTCATGGTGATGGCGATGGACACTCCAGAGGAGGAAAAGCAACCAGATTACAACATCCACCAACAAATTTGGGGTTTGATTTGCATCTTTTTACTGTTTAAGTGTAATGAATTTTTAGTGATTTAACCTATTTTTGGGTCAATTGCTTTCGGATTTTTGGTTTTTGCCCATTGGAATTGAAACCCTTAAAACCCCAAAATGTGCGACCACCAATGAAAATCCAAAAAACAAACATATCGATGCTGCCTATCGAAAACCCAGAAAGCAAACCCAAAAAATGTCCGAATTTTGAATTGAGAAATAGGCGGTTTTTGTGAGTGATCTAGTGGGGTGTAATGCGGAAAACTTATGGCCCCCGGTCAAATTGCCTCTAGGTTTCAGGTTCCATTTGTGGAGGTAGAGGAGATGGCAGTGGTAGTGATGGTTTTGGGGTGTGGGTGAGTATGTGTGGGGTTGATGAAGAATAAGAAGTTGGTTTTTGGTTTTTAATTTTAATTATTTGATTTTAGTTATTTTATTACAAAAAAATGTGACATTACCATTTGAACTTTTAAAATTAGTCAAAATTATTGTCAAGTTCAATTATTTGGTCAGCTAACAATCAAAATAATAGAAACCATCCATTGGGAGTTAAGCTACGACATTTTGAAAGGTTTGGTATCATGGGTGGCACAAATAAAATATTTGGGCAAAGTCTGCTGCTAAATGAAAGGTTTGGTACCGTTGCTGCAATTTTTCCTTAATTTTTTAAGATGGAATCTTTAGTTGCAATGAATATTTTTAAAGCCATGCTCCAAACTTAACTATGTGAATACATAAGATGAATCTCAGGTATAAGTCGAAGATTCAAATAAAATGTGGACCCTATTAATCGCAACGATAGCTTCAGTTACTGTGAACTCTCAAGATGTTAGACCCTTCATGGTCATGCGGGTATGTTACATTGGAGTTTATATAAATGTTGATGAAGTATGTGATCTTCAATCGGTTAAAAGTATATGTATATAAAATTGGTCATTGCTGAAGGAGCAACTGTTGTAATCACTTGTGAACCTTTGTTTTGAATAAGATTGTTAGAGATGTGTGAACAAAAGTTTTTGTCTGGGCTTATAAGAAGTCCCATGACCTACTCCCAAACATGCTTATGGACTAAACCGCCAGCTTCAACTAGTCGTAGACCGTTTCTTAGGGTTACAGGTAAATTAAGCTACTTTACCAATTAAATTTACATTTTCACGAGTCTCAAAAGGGTCAACATGGTATCAGAACAACAAATTTTACCGCTGAATTCATATATTTATAAAATCAAAGCATTACATGTACATTCATTTTATACATTAAGTTTAACATTCATGATGTGTCAAAATTATGGCCATTGATTTGAATAAACTTCTCAAATCAATGTCCATAATTTTGAAACCTCAGTGTCAAAGTTCTTGTACAAAAGAAATGTACACCTAGTTTAATTCTTATAAAATTTCATCTTACAAGTCAAATATTTGATAAAAATAAATAAATTTAATTTGCTATAAGAAATTTCACTTTTAACAATGAGAACTTCTGCCATGGAAAATATCTCAATGAGCATTTTTCGAAGAAAATATTCAAAATTAAACTTTTCGAGGAAAGTTTTTCATTGTTAATATATATAAAAAAAAGACATAAATAAATAAGTTCTTCATTTATCTAAATTTAAATGCTTTACTTTCTATCCAGTACTTTTTTGTCTATAAATAGGAGACCATGTGCATGGAGCAGGTGAACACATATCCAAGAGAGAGAAAGAGATATATTTATCTAGAAAAAGAGAGAATGGAGAATTCCCATGTATGTCCTAACGAAGTTAAGGATGTCTCCTTGCAAGAACTAAGAGATAGGCTTCAAGAATTTGCTAGAGCTAGGGGTTGGGACCAATATCACAGTCCTAGAAATCTTCTTCTGGCTCTGGTATGTAATACTAAATTTGCTTACATAAAGTGTTCAAGATTTATATAATGAGCAGTACAATATAGCCGACTGACTATACCTCATACAATCGTATCTAACATTCCAAATATATGGTTAACAATATTAAACAAGAAAATATATAAGCTTTTTACTTATTTTTCTTCATTAATTCTACAGAAAATTTGGGTTATGGACTTCAAACTTCAAAAGTGGGGTTCTTTAAATGTATAAATCTAGATTCTCACGTGGAGGCATTTAGGGGTTGTTCTCTTCATATTTCAGTTTTGAGTTTTGCATTTTAAATGTCAATTTTGAGATTGCTGAAAACACGTTTTTTTTGTCATTTTGAAAAATAGTTTTCAAATATTAAAAAAATGAAATTTTGGCTTGGTTCTAGCCGAAAACAGCCAAAACGACTTCTTTGGCGTTTTTCGTTTTCTTTGTAAATTTTAAACTCATTTTTGGAAATTCGTTTCTGAAAATAGGAAAGTAGACGTATTTTCAGTGTTTTTCGAAAATGAAAATGGCCTGAAAATAGTAAAGAGAATAGACCCTTAATATTTCTTTTCAATTTAACTGAAAGTCGTGTACGATTCTAACGCCTACATTGACAACTTCAATCACATAAGGGCACTAATTAACAAATTTAAATAGGTTTGAGGCCATACCTAGAAGGTTTGGGAACACAATCCCAGTTTTCTCTTAATCCTGTCGTGGAGTGTCCAGTGCCACGGGCCGACCTAATTTTGAAGTTTGCAATATCTCACAGGTTGGAGAAGTGGGAGAGCTATCTGAAATATTCCAATGGAAAGGAGAAGTAGCAAGAGGACTCCCCAATTGGACTTCTGATGAGAAACAACATGTTGAAGAGGAACTCTCTGATGTTTTACTTTACTTATTACAATTGGCTGATGTTTGTGGAGTTGATCTTGGCCAGGCTGCTCTCACAAAAATCATCAAAAATGCCCAGAAATACCCTGTTAATCCAACTACTTTTAATTAACTTCTCGTTAAACTTAATTAATTGCTGCTAAATCAGCATTTTAAATAACTCATAATGCTACCTTTTGTTATTAATGCATGTTTAATAAAACAAATTTCCACCACTGCTGTTAATTACATAATTTGTTATCTTTTCTATTTTTTATTTTTTATTTTAATTTTTTTTGAGAACTCCTTTTTATATTGAAGGATGGATAAGAGTATCAATTTTGTTTCAAACTCGCAATAATAGAGCGAACAAAGTGACCAAAAAAGATTCGTATATTTAACTCCAAAGTTATCGAAAAACCATACGTAATAAACAACGTACGTAATACTTGCATAACCCAAAAACAAGGGATGCAAATTTTCAAGTTTTTCACAGTTCAAAAACATGAAGGTACGAAGGGATAAGTAAATTCTCTTGAGCCAATGATCGACTATCAGGTGCTACGGTGATGAAATCACCCACGCCATACTCTAGAACTATAACAAAAGAGTATTTATAACCAAGAATGGAGATTCATTAATCATAATATTTTCTATGTAAATGGGAAAATTATCATTGTTCCTCTTTTTGGATGCGGAAATTAAGGTTACGAGTTGATGACACAAACCTACATTCTCGTTGATCTAATATTTTTTTTTCAAAAAATAAATAAGTATTTTGCATATTTAATTTTTGGATGCGGCAATTAAGGTTATGAGTTGATGACAGAAACCTACTTTCTCGTTGAACTAATATTTTTTTTAAAAAAATTAAATAAGTATTTTGCATATTTAAATCATGAGTAAAATAGAAGGTCTATTACTGTTGACATACCAAAAGTGTAGCTCAAATTGAATAGTCTAAGGGATGAAGCTCAGTTAGGAAATCTAGGATCAATGTCCAAATAAGACCATTAATGAATGCAGTGGAGACCCACGAATAAGGTACTATCATCGCTCAAGCTTGTAATACGCCCAGGATTTGAGCGAATGGAGTGCCTTAAGATCGCCCAGAACGAATAAATCCGTTCTCGCCCAAACCTTCGAATCACCCAAGATCTTAGCAAATATGAGATATTATGGTTATCCAGAACAGCAGTTATTGAACAATTTTATCACACTCCACGATCCAAAGATCCCAGTTGTAGGCTGTTGAACGACAAGAGTAATTGCAACAGTTAGAGACAGAAATTCCACGACAAGTCAGCTATCATGAAGAAAGTGGGTAATTATAGAGCAATCAAGAAGTTTCCCAACAGTTTGTCACAAAGAAATTATCAAAGAAGTATAACAAGGAAGAGTATAAGAAGGACGAGAAGACATAGAGGAAAAGATCCCGAATCAAACACTCTCAACAGAGAATATGTAATTTCAATTTCTTAGTTTAACTTTAAAACACTTCTTTTAGTACTCGTGTGCTTGCGCCCCTTGGAGGCATTCTGTTTATTTCCAATTGTAAATTTTCGCCAATAAAGCACCCATTTTTTAGACTTTGTCTCAAGAGATCCGTTCCTTACACAATCGTCTGAACCTTTTTTAATTGTTAGCGACAACCCGCACTAAACAATTTGGCACGCCTAGTGGGACATTGGTGTTTGAGGACACAAAAAGTGAAACAATATATCTCATAAGTCTAATAAGGAACCAGCAAGTCAGGGAGTAGTCCAATATGTGATCGAGAGATATGAGGAGCAGCAAAGCTCTCCACGAATAGAGGGACAAAATCAGAGCGGTCATAGTCGTTATGAACCAATGACAGAGTTGAGTCCTCGAACCATGCGTGCGTTGTTTGGGGAACTCACACAGGATGTCGTTGAACAGGTAAATCTACAAAATGTTCATAATATGGAAAGACTTACCCAAAATGAGAGTGCACATTATGACAATATGGTCCAACAATTGAATACATTAAATGAAATAATGAACAAGTTAGTAGGTTAAATGTGTCAACCAGTTGTGCCTATTGCAAACAACTTTCAAACTAGGACGATTATGGGACATAATCCCCCAATCTTGAGTCCGAATCAAGGGATAGAACCACCTTTTTATCCGTCTACTTCAAACCAAGGGGACGGTGTAGTGCCAAACTTGAATAGTGGTAATGGTACATCAAACATGGGGGTAACCCAAATATAAGAGACAATGTCCTGAATAATGGACAGAATACCCCACGTGTTAATGATGGAATAAATACTCAGGCTAACTGTAATAATAGCCCAAACAATGGCAATTTTGTCGTCAACCAGGGACCAAATGTTAGGCCTCAAGCAACTCAACCTGTCAACCAACCTATAGAAATTCCATATGATCCCAACGTTATATTGATGAATCAAATAATGGAAATAGTACATGATCAAATGGCTTTTGGAATATGCCATGTCATTAGGCCGACTTACACAAAGTCATATCCTGATTGGATAGACAAAGTATATCCATGGCCTAGAGGGTACAAGTGCCAGAATTTTCATTATTCACTGGTTAGGAGAAGTGTCTACTCTAGAACAGATTAATCAACAATTGCTCATGTTTTATTTCTTCCATTCTGATTATTTTTCACTTATTTCTCATTATTTCCGCCACATTCATCACTTGTCCTGCAAAACATGAATTGCATAGAATTAAGCTATATTCCAACATATTAATCAACAATTGCTCATGTTTTGACAATAAAATAAGTATGTAAAACGTACTTATCAAATACATAAATTAGGTGTTTACTATATTCAATTTCATTTTTAAGAACCGGTTTAAAACTTTAAAAGTTAGGTGGTAAATAAAATATATAAATTTTAATTCCTAAAATCAAGCATACAGTTACACGTGTTTCCATTTCAAATAGGACTCCATTTTAACAGTGACGATCGAACAATGACAGAATACACAGAGAATTCGTCGGAGCAAAAAACTTTGATTCCCATCGTCAGAATCTAATTAATTGAAACCTGCTGAATGATCGAGGTTACAAATTGATAGTTATCGACACTGTATATCAGAAGATCCAACAAATATAAAATCTACAGAGAACTCCTCTGAGCAAATAATTTTGATTCTCATTGCCAAAATCTAATTAATTGAAAGTTGTTAGTACTGTATATCAAAAGATCAAATAAAGAGAGGATCTAAAGAGAACTCGCCGAAGCAAATGAGTTCGATTCTCATGGTCGAAATCTAGTTAATTGAAACCCACTGGATGATTGATGTCACAAATTAGAAGTTGTTGACACTATGTATAAAAAAATTTGAAGGCAATGGTAACTACTGACGTCAAAGAAATCCATGGCTTGCGATCGATTTTCTTGAATTGTGAAATGTGACATATGCACTATGACATATGACTTGTAACATGTTATATGTGATATTGATCCAATGACCTATGACCAGTTTTCTAGGATCTTTGACGTGTAGATATTGATCTATTACCTATACAATATGTCATGTGAATTGTAACATATGAGCTGTGACCCGTGAATTTGAATCCGTGACGTTTTATCAGTGCATAAAGACATGTGATATATAATCTGTGATCAATTAATATTGATTTGTAAACTATTTATAATGATATGTGACATATACAATATAATATGTGACATGTGGAAATTTATTTGTGACATATACATAATGACGTGATTTGGTATAAGTGACATATGACCTATCACCACCACTGACACCACCAATAAATATCAACACAACATTTGACATACACTCTATGAACATATAACCACCACCACCACCACAAAATCGCTGCAGCGACGATCTATGGTTCGTTGCTATAGTGGTAAACTGAACATCGCGGGTTCAAATCGTCGCTAACCGACGCGACGTGGTAGTGGCGTGACGCTCAATTTGCTATTGTCATCGGTTCTCACAGCGGTAAGCGATGTCGTTGATGTGATCGTTGGTGCAGAAGAAAAACAAAGATGGATAGTAGAGAGAAAATAGAGAGTGTAGAGAAAGAGGGAAGAAGAAAATGAAATGGGTTTGAAGTGGGATAAGGTGAGGTGGTGGGTAGATTAATTTAATTTTATAATATTATTATTTTTAATTAAAATATTAAATTATCACCTGATATTAAATCTTCTTTTTGAAATTAAAACTTAAAAAACGGGTTCCAGTGTAATTTTCACTTCCTTTTTCATGAAGAAATTGCACAAAATACCTCCTATTGAGGGATTAAACTATAATTTATGTTAATGAAATTTACTTAGCACCCGTTTGATCCTCATTTTTGGGGTAAAATATATGATGGAATAGTGTTTTTACGGAGACTGTGCAGTTTAAAAAAGAGAAAAAGTTCGTAAAATAAGTGTATAATTATTTTATGGAAGAATGTAAAGTTGAAAATAAGTTTTGAAAAAAATGTATTTTTTAAAAAATGGAACTCCTGGGCTTAACAATTTGGTGATGGGGTCGTGGGTTTTCATTTCACTCTGCAAATTTCTCTGGGTACAGGCGATTTAGGAGCTTTTCAAAATTCTGACTAACATTGTACAAAATTCATCAGCAAATACCAGAAGTTGGAAGAAGAGGATGAAGGTGAGCATCTATCGTCAAATTATTATTATTATTATTATTATGTCTGTGTGTTTGTTCATGTTGCGTATTGCTTGATGGAATTATTTACAAAGAGACCAAAGAATTTGTTGATGAAATTTTAGATATTTAAGAAATACAATTATTTTCATGTTGGGCAACTGCTTGGTGCAATTGTTAAGAAAGCCAGGTGCTTTCAATATTTTGTTGCAATGTGACTGGTATTTAATATAGTTAATTTTGACCTTAAAAAATGGATACTATTTTTTAAAGTTAAGGGCTGAATTTTCTCTTCCGATTTTTACGGGATCGATTTTTACAGGATCTTCCTTCTTTTTTGGAAATTTTGGGTTTATTTCGAAGTCAACTTTTGTTTTAGAGAGATATGTTGACGTCAGAGTTTGTTTCTCTATTGAATATATTCTTTCGATTTTCGAGAGGTCCAATTCCAAATATTTTTTAAATCCGAGGCGATTTTAGGAGAGAATATTTCAAAGTCAACTT